TTTTTTTCATGCGCCACATCTTTATTGAATAATTGGTTTAAACAGTCACAATTATTGATGGAATTTTTGTGGAATCTTGTTTACTGCCAATAAGATCAACCGATGCTGATAAAACACACGCATTGTTTCGGTTCATGCGCATGTTTGGGATGTCTTTCTCCAACGGCCTGTTTTGCATCACAGCAGTGCATTTCAAAGGAAGTGGGGTCAGGACTCTAATTTGGCCATTGTGAAGTGCTGATTTTCTTTTGTTTCTGCGCTCTGTTGTTGATTTACTCCTGTGTTTTAGATCAATGTCATGCTGAATGACCCAACCTCTTTTGAGTTTCAGATCACAAACAGACGCTCTGACATTCTGCTCCTGATACAACTTGGAACTCGTTGGTCCCTCAGTGTCTCCAAGCCGCCCAGACCCCGAGGCAGCAAAACAGCCCCATAATCATTGCATTCATCCCACAATCCTTCACAGTCGCAATGAGGTTTTGGCGATGGTACGGGAAGTTTTGCATTCTTTACATTTTCTTAAGGTATATTAAAAACAAACGCACAAAGAGATAATAATGCTTCAGCAAGTTTTTTTTTCTGGGCTGTTTATCTGTATTATACTTCTGTGTCAAGCGATCGGCCACACTTCTAACCGCTACCAAGCTGACCAATCACAGCTCTTACACTATGAATCGCTGCTACGTGTAGTTACATTTTTTGAGAGGTGCACATTCTTTCAAAGTTTGCATCAGGTTATGAAGGGTATGTGACTGAAGGCTACGTTAGACCTGCTGCACACATTTCACAGAGAAATATATATCTGTATATGTCTTTAATGTCTGATTATTAATATGAAAGGCCATCAGGGAAAAAAGCTTGCACACTTTAGTAGTTTTAAATGTATGATTATTATGGAAAGTCATTACAGACAAATGTTCTCAAACTTTAATCATTCTCCATGTCTGATTACTATGGAAGGCTATCAATGACAAAAGTCCTGAAACTTCAGTGATTTATTGGGACAAAAATTGGGACAAAAAATTTCTAATTTGGATTAGAGATCTGCGCGGGACTAAATTTTGAATCCCGCTCCCGCCCGCACCCGCCAGGTTTTAGCCCGAACCCGACCGCTCCCGCTTATATTAAGCACTTGTTGTCCCACTGCCCGACCCGCCCCATTTTCTACACGCCGTGCCCGATCCCGCTAAAGAGCGGGGGGAGAACAAAACCGAAAATCACCCAGCTATACAGTCCAGACAGGCTATAACAAGCTGTCTGTATAAACACACACACACACACACAGCACCAAGCACACACATACAGACAAAGCCCTCTCTCTCTCATTCGCGCTCGCGCACTAACACACACACACACACACACACACACACACATAAGCACTAAGCACAAACACAGGCAAAGCTCCCTCTCTCTCATTCGCGCGCTCACACACACACACATCTCTCATTTGCGCGTGCGCACACATACACACACACACACACAGCACCAAACAAGCTAAACACTAAACACAGCATCAAGCTATTTCATTTACACACATACATACGCGTGCTCACTCGGGAGTCGGAGTGATATTGCTAGACGGCCTAAATTAAACCCATTACCGACCGATCCCGCGATTTATTCAAAAAATTTATACCCGCGCCTCAGAAATCTGGTCGGATTCCCGCGGGAATGCAGACCTCTAATTTGGATGTCTGGTGTTTGCATATGTACATGCCAGGATCCCACACGCTGATATCATATGCCATAAGTAAACATTAAATGGTACTTAAATATACACGTTCCTAATCTAAGATTTATAAAAGTGATTCACCTTTTATAAACCCTTATAAAATATTGGTGTCTGGGATGCATCAAATCCAGAGACTGTAGTGAACACCATAACCTTGAAAAAAGATACTCTTTAATGTGTGATATGACCAAAACAGTGGTATGCTATTTTGAAAAAATTTTCTCAGTTCAAATAAGTAAAAGCTTGGAATAGGAAATTGTAAAGTTATTACAAGCTGATTACAATATGCTTTATATTACAATATATCATATGTGTTACTTATATTTGAATATTTTAATAAACTACTACATTACAAATGCTGATATAGTATCAAATTAATCAGTTTCATTGAATGTTGCTCTGATTGATGCATAGCATAATTTTTGTAATTATGCAATTGAAATTATGGTAATTATGCAATGAAAACAGCTACTGACACACTCACTGACACTGAACACTGACACTGAACTTGTTGACAAAGTCAAATTCAAATGTTATTGTTTCAAACACTTTTGGCCCCAACTGCATTCCATAGATTGTACTTCTAAGCCACTAATCAAATGTGTGAATGACAAATTCCGTAAACAACATACTGAAATTGATTGAAACTGGATACAGATTCCATACCAATTTATTATGTCAAGTATAATTACTGCAATTATTATGATCTTTTGAATGAAAAAAAAGCATTAACTTTGAAATACTGACAGCTTTTTAAGGTTTAGACTCACTAAGTTTTGAGGCTTTTAATAGTAGATTTTAAGAGTTAATAATCAAAAAAAATTAAAATTTGCTGTTATATCCTCAGATCATGAAAGATGTAGAGAATATTTTTTCTTCATTAGAACAAAAATACTTTTTTTTTTTAAATGTGTAATTCTTAAGACAGCTCCAGCCTCATTTTGCTCTCTTAACACTGTAATATATGTACTCAGGATAGTTTGCCAAGACTTTGAATTAAATAACAAAGTAAGTAATGTTCAGTAAATAATAGCTATTCACTTGCATTTATGAACCATTGCGGTTACATTAAAAAAATCTTCTTTAATAATCTATTAATGTTGCATACATCACTGGCTTGACTGTAATAAAATAAATATTCTACTTCTCAAGTTAATCTATTTAATTTATTAATGTATAAACATTTGTACTAGAAATCAAGACAAAAAAAAACTAATTAAGAGGGTAATATTTTGCTGTGTGACTTCTTTAAAGTTCCTGTTCGCTCTCTTGGGGACTCTTTATGAAATGCATGTTTGCTTGTTTGTTTGTTTTACAGGATAGTGATCCTCATTTCCCATTTATTAAAGCTGTCTCTCAACACACGTCAGACAGGCTTCATTTACTAGGAAACACAGCAATGGTGCTGAACTGATGGTGCTGTAATCCTCACGACTGTAGGCATAAATCTCCCAAAGTCTCTTGCAAACATTGAGTTTTATGAGTTGTTCTTCTGAGGTTTCCTTGAGTCCCTTTTGATCAGAATGGATTGCTTTTGAGCACAACTGTTAGGCTAGAAAAAAGTAACATGCAGCTTTCGATTCAGGATGGCAGGTCAAACTCACAGCTGAGTCCAATTACCTTTTTTTTTCAAGAGATCATTTTAGTAGAGGTTATCTTGATTGTTTAACACATTTGTTCAATAAAGACATGGCACTGCAAAATGCTTGTGTGTGTGTCTCTGTGTGTGTTTTCTATATAAGGGAAGTTGTAGTTGTCTAACAAAGATTACAAGAATCTACTTTTTAAAACCCAATGTTTGTGAGGTGTATTTCAAAGATTTGGCTATAAAATAAAGGTATATTTAAACTTTAAATGTATTTTCAAAAAAGGTAAAATGCTACAAAATGAATGCTCTTCTTTTAAAGACGTGTGATGTCTACTCCAGCCAATAAGAACATTCAGACGCATTCACATCTGTGCTGTTTATAAAAATAAAAGTCTTTGAATATTTTCCCAGACACAATTATCTGCTAATTGTTAGGCTGATAACGTTTTTATATTCATCATTAATGCCAACTGTGTGAAAAATATCGATAAAATGCTTATGATAAACCACTGTGAGTTTACCTGCTAGCCACACGTTTTGCTGCGTGGCACTTGTGCATGTGAAGGAGTGCTCTGGTGAGTGCTAGCACACAAACAAATGTACATCTCGACATACGAAAGTGTTCCTCCTCATGTTTACATCGAAGTTGTTCACAATACTTATCCATTCACAGAATTTGTAATGTAGTCAAACGTATAAACATTATGCCGCGGTTATCACTTCTGACCTTGGATGGCTCTGGGACAAAATCAGCTGTATGAATGCTAAAGCGTTTAATAAAAGTGAACCCATCAACAAACGCCAAACCCCTTCTATGTTTACAAATACAAGTACTGCCGTTTAGAGGCCATTTCTGGTTAATGATATCAGAATTTACTGGTATTTTGGAATGGATGTGTGAATGGTCTTTTCCGGAAAATTTCCCGAACGTCCTTGCCTTTGTGAACAGCGCTGTTTGAAATTTACCGGTAAAGTGTTCTAGAAATTTTCCGAATATTTACTGTGTGAAAGGGGCTAATAATAATTGATTACAGTAGTATATAAAACAATACAGTAAACATTATCACCTGATGTATTTTACAGTACATGACTATATTAATTGGTGAAGTTTTTCATTGTTTCAAACTGCTATTAAATATCTTTGTTTACATTGTAACAGAATTAGCAAGAGATTGCATTAGGAAGCAAATCAGAGCAAAACAGATAAAAAAATGTATAGTGAGGACTTCTATCAATTAGCTACTGACTGGATTGAGGCAGATTGTCAAATTGACTGAATGACTGAAGTATGAGATTTCATTAGAAGATCAAGTTATGGCATTTTGATGTTAAGAAACCGCAGGTTGCTTTTCTGACAACTAATAAAACATACACAGCATGTCCCCATTATCCCTAAACAGTGTCATGTGTTAAATGAACTGCTTTATTTTTCCTGAGCAGTAATGATGAAAATGTTAAATATATTTTTACACAGTCACAACCAGTTACCCCATTATGACTTAAAAAGATCAAAATCATTCGCACAGCAATTCAAATGAACCTGTTGTTTGTGTTTGCAGTGTGTGTGTGTGTGTGTCTGTGTGTGTGTGTGTGTGTCTGTGTGTGTGTGTGTGTGTGTGTGTGTGTGTGTGTGTGTGTGTGTGTGTGTGTGTGTGTGTGTGTGTATGCAACACTCACTCTTGACAGTGCCCTTAACTGCGTCTGCTACAAAAGCAATGGAAATGAACAGAGCTATCACCTCCTCTATCGACCTACGGAACAAAAACATCAACATCAAAAACATTTCAGCTGTCAAGCGGTGACATCAGCATGAGAAAGTATTAGAGCTGCACGATTCTGCATAAAATGTATTTGAGCCACAACTACTAAAAACTGGAAGACTTTTTTTCTTTGCATTTTTAAAAATGTTTTGTTTATAGATGACAAAATTGTTCAAATGCATCCACAAACAACACAAAATCCACAAAAAAGATCATTTTCAGGTATTGAAACACACATTTACTGTACTCCTGTAGTCCACTGTTGTTTAGTTGTCAAGTACTTTACATCAACATCACAGTTTTTACAAAAACATGTTTCTGCATTTTCTCACAGCACAAACAGTTTATGAAAAGGTGCTGCATTCTCACAACACTTGCAAAAACAAAGGAACACAATGGAAATGTTTTAAGGAGGCCCAAAAGTGTGATGTTGTAGGTGATCTTTGAAAGGTGGGTTTTTGTTTGTTTATTTTAACATTCTCATTCCCTTGTCTTTTGAATTTTATTAGCCAAAATAATCATAACCTAAATAGCCAAGTCCGTCACATTTTTTGGGTCACCTTGAAACATTTCCATTGTGTTCCGTGCTGTGAAAAACTGTTGTGAGAATTGCTAGCGTTGTGAGAAAATGCAGCGTGTTTTCTTCATTTGTTTGCTTTGTGAGAAAATCCTCCTGGTTTTTTAAAATGTAATTGAGTTGTAAGGATTTGCAGCATGTGTGCTGTCAAAAGAATGAAGATCTTTTTTTAATTTGCTGTCATTTTTTTAATTGCATATGCTTTCTTAAATTGCAGCACATTAAGCTCTGTTAGCCACCTTACTTTTGTTTAATTTTAGGCCAAACGTATTTTTTTGTTGAAAATAATTTTTTTATTTATTTTATCTATTTATTCATTTTAAATACAGATCACTGTTCTTCCAAGATCCTGAGGCTACATTCACATAAAGACAGAGCTTTTCCTGTCTAATCAATTTTTTCCCTATCTAAAAAGATATCTATGTACACATGAAACCACTAAAAGCGAGTAAAAACTATGTACAGTAGTATGCATGCCAGATCAGTATGGGGTGCTTCATTGCCCCTTCGTTAAGCCCCGCCCTCCTTAGTTACTGTTGCTATGCCTGTCAAGCTTTCGTGCCTGGCACGTCTTTTACAATTTGTATGCACCATTGTCAGACATTGCCAGGGATATAATGTCATTTTTGGCTAACAGGTGAGATATCCGAGAAAGCCAGACAAAGCCGGATCGCTAACTCATGTCATTATGACCTATTCGCTAATAATATGACAAAGTTACGATGGTGAAGGCTTAAACGGAGCAGTGCTCATAATATCGAGCAAAAAAAAAAAAGACAGCTGTGAACATAACCTGCTTTGTGTTTTTGTAGAGGTGTGTGAGTTATTGCCTCTTGGGTTTTTCGTTTTGAAAAGAAAAAAAAATTCCACCATCCTGTTCAAACTTTCAGGATACCGGGTATCAGATTTGCACAATCCATATGCACTTGCTCGAAAGTTTGACAGAGCCCCTGCGCGTAGCTACAGTTGCTTAGCCATGATTGGTGGGTGGCTGTTTTTGGGTGTGGCTTAGCGAAGGGTCAATTCTCCAACAGAGATACACAAATAAATAAACATAATTCATAAATGTTGCATGCTGTATTCAAACCAACATGTAGTTGATGTTATGTGATAGCGGTGTCAAGACATGGGATGATGACATCATCGTTTTACAAAATATGCTGATTTGGTGTTCACACAAAAGCAGCAGGGTGACATTTTCAGATTTATCCAGTACCAGGTTTTAAAAAAAATTCTTCAGTCTCCCAAACTATGGTTCTTTCAACAATTTTTAACCTTGAAAAATCCGAAAATGTTACTTTCATTAAAAAGTGATATATTGTAGGGATTTGATCCAATAAATATATTCTCATTCTTTTTTAACACATCAATAGTTATGCGGTGGCACAGGGTTAAACCTCTTTCTTGACTTCACACAAAACAGCAACGTGTGTGGCAGGACATTGCTTTGTTGCAGAGATGCGATTGGTTAAATGCCGGTAAAGTAGAACACGGAAGCAGCTTGAAGTAGAAAGTATGTCTGGGGTCTGGAGGTATTATAAAGTTGATGACGTTGATGACGACAACATTGCCACAGCAAACTGTGAGACAGGTAAACTTGGGATTGCCTGCCGGGTGTTTTAAGCTGTTTTAAGGGTGTTTTTATATTTACTGTTGCAAGTCCGAAAGTGAAGAATTTATGTTATTTATTACTGGATTGTTCAAGCTACCTCACAGGACTGCTCTGTTTTTAACAGAATTGGTGAATGTTAAAATAAGGTGAATTAAATAAAAAAAGGAACATCCTGGATCTGTTTCTACTTATGTATTAAAGAGCCCCTATTATAGGTTTTTGAAAATGAGCTTCCATAAAAGTGTCTAACACAGCACAAAGTGAATAAAAACATCCAGCTTAGGTTTAAAATCTGAAAGTGCACTGTGTTAAAAACTATAGATTCTTTAGCAAAATAATTGACTCAGAGTCGAATCAATGAATCGAGTTGGGTTTGGATCTTTTGCTTGATCGCATCGACGTTGACACGGTACATCACCAAATATGTAGTTCTAGTTCTGGTAAAATGTGAATGTGCTTTCACTTCAGACACAGGGATCACGGACTGGTCATAATGTAAAAAATATAACGATCACTGACAGATTCAGCTGCAGGGAATAAATGGTTAAAGTTAATTTTCACAATACCACAATATAGCCAACCGTGTGCTGTGTTTGTTCCTGTCATTTTTCTGATGATTAATACAATAACCTATGCTGCAAAGCAGGATTCGCTGGCCATTTGCTATTGAAGGAGCAGCAGAGACATTGTCAGACTTTGACAGGGACTTTGTCAGTAACTTCTACAGTTCAAATGGACCAATTTTTTCTTCCTCTAGATCATAACATGTAAGTGTCATTAAAAGTAGAAGCAAAGTAGAAGCTCTTTAAGTATTGGATCGGGTTTCAGTAACGGTAGATACTCAAAATCAAATGACTCCGACTCGGATTCGAGGGCAAAAAACCCTGATCGAGACAACCCTAATATATTGTCTGGACTGGCTTTACAAAAATATTTTGAAACAAAAACCTGTAATAAACTGCCAGAATATTTTCTGTGACTTCACAGACTGTTTTCTCGTTACATTATTTTTTTATACATTATATTATTTCAAACTACTAAAATGTCAATAAGGGTCACTTTGTTGCACTGTAGAGCATCCCTGCCAACATTTGTCTCCGAAATTCCAGGAGACTGGTGGTTGGGGGGAGAGGTGGTGGTGTGGGTTTGTCTGAATAACACAGTTGAGAACCAGATTAGTAACTGTACTGTAGTGTTGGTAAGTGTACTATGGGCCATGTTGAATACTATACCAAAGTTGACAACCCGTAAGAGTTACAGACTGTGCCAAAAACCTCAGGACCAGGGGCAGGGCTGAAATTATGGGACTTTTCTGAAAGAAATAACAAAATGGAAGGGTGGTGGACGATGGGTCTGAAACAAGGCAGACTCTCGGGAGTGTTGGCAGCAGTGGCAGATTTAGTCATGGGCAATATGAGCGATCGCCCAGGGTGACATCTTGCTAGGGGCGACATGGAGACACCCCCCCCCCCTCCATCCGCGACACCCCTTGCTATATTACAACCCTTCCCCAATTTACTTTCGTCCAACGCCGCCCAACTACAATTTGCAATTTGTGGGTGTCAACACAGTGAGAGCATCGCGTTCATCGTATGCCTAGAGCAGGGGTGGGTAAACTCGGTCCTGGAGGGCCGGTGTCCTGCACAGTTTAGCTCCTACTCTAATTAAACACACCTGCTTTTAGATTTCTAGTGATCTTGAAGACCCTGATTAGTTTGTTCAAGTGTGTTTGACTAGTGTTGGAACAAAACTCTGCAGGGACACTGGCCCTCGAGGATCAAGTTTGCCCATCCCTGGCCTAGAGTGACAGTTAAGCTTGTGACAGTCCTGGTTGGCAGGTATGCTATGGAGCTGAATTTTCAACAGAGCAGAGATCAAGGTCCCATAATCCAATTCACAACCGTAAAAACGAGAATACTTGTAAATCACAAAATACGGAAAATGTTAATTAAGATTTCTTTTTGTTTACAGTGTGGCATAATTATATAATCAAACTACAGTATATATATTTTTTCCCAGTACTTATGTAATCTGAATGTTTGTGGCTAAAAAGACCTTGTGAAACTGTTTCATAACTAAAAGTGCCAGCTCTGAATTGCTGTGACAACATTTGTCAAAGGTTTGCATGGATGTTTGACTCAAGAATAATCTATTTATCAACTGAACATGTTTAATGGATGTGCTTGATGTCACCTTTTCACAAAATATAATTCTTGCAGTTGACATGGAGGCAATAATAGTATTTAAAATCTTAAATGATTAATGGATTAACCTTCCAACGATGAATCAAGCAGCTCTAGCATGTCTATGCATTAATAAACGTGCGTCTGACCTCTTGAAAAGCTTAACAAGCAGGCTGAGGTTGAAGACTCCTCCCATGATGAGGAAGAGGCTGTTCCACAGGCCGATGCAGGCATAAAACGCTGCAAAGTCCAGCTCATAATCATCGCAGATCCCTCTGATCACTGCGGCCAAACAGAGACAAACACACAAAAGAATTAGAACACTGCAGTCATTAGGAGTGTATGCAAAAATAACCCAATCAACCCCATCTTGTAATGACCCAGGATTTTAGCACACAGTAAACTCTGACCGTTTGATGTTTAAAGAATTGCTCCCAAACATTTAAAGAAAAAAATGCAGCTGTTATTCCCATGAGAAACCCACAAGACCAGATCTCTGATTAAGGAAGGATCATTATCATGGATGGATGATGTGGTTCTGTCCTCATCTGCACATTTTTTACCCAAGCAGAATTTCATTTTCCACCAGCAAATACATTTTTCAGGGCAACCCTCCCGCTGGTGACAGAGTGCGATTGCAGCCGCAGGAATGAGCTTACGGAGGAAATCTCCTCTCAGCCAGGGCAAACATCAAACTTTGCCCAAACAAATGGCGGCCGTATCGCACTCCCATCCCGCTGTTTGTGAGATTAAGAGTCTTGTTCCTCCTCATCCTGTGGTTAGCAGAGCACTCTAAACACTCAAAGTCAAAGTATTCAACAAACAGTGAGTGCTCTTCTAAACACACCACAAAAAATAACGTTTAAGACCAGACCACGGGGGAGAGTCAAGGTATGCATTTATGTTTGTTGTCACGATACTGGAATTTTTGATAGGCTTTAATATGCTACCTTAGGGTGTACTCACACTAGGTTATTTGAACCATGTCCAGGCATATTTGACCCCCCTTTCCCCTTTCATTTGACAAGTGTAAGTAATCTGAATGAGCTAAAAACGTCACTTTTAAGGAACTGTTTCATATGGTTTTTTTAATCATTCTTACTTTTTAGTGAATGGAAACTCTAACAGTTTATCAAAGATACAAACCCCTCGCTGTACGTCAGCTGCACCTTCAGCAAACCTCTTAATACGTGCAGCAAGATGACTTTCATGAGCATTTTTATGAGCGTCAAAAACGATTTGTTTTGATTTGAAAAGGGATTTGTTCAGCAAAAGATATGACTGCATAATCACTGCATTCCAAATGACTTAAAATAATACAAAACGATATAAATAAAGCAATCTAATTTGTACAGAGTGAGAGCACTTCTCTTCTGTTAAACTAAACAGTCGCATCATCGATCATGTAAGCAGCAAAAAATGTAATGTGAGTGCAGGGCAAGAGGGGAGGAAGACCAATCGTGCCTGAGCATGGTTCAAGACAACCGTGCACAGTGTGAATATACCTTTAAAAATATTGATACTCTATAGCGTTTTTAATACCACACTGGAATATTACCAGAGCAGTGTTTAAAATTACAATTTTTATGCCATTCTTAATTAATGCTCTCTATTTGTGCATAGTTAACTGGTGATCTGGGATATTCAACCTGGACAGACTGGCCAGAGTGAGTCTTATTACGTCTTACAGTGTGATGCATTAATGCATGAGTAAGGCTTGGTTCAAACCAATTAGCACGCTCTATTGTGCAACTTCATTAATATTCATTAGTGTCACCGTGTTTACGCCACAGAGACGCCACGTTGTGTTGGCAAAACAAGCGTGAAGTGTTGCTTTTAAAGTTTGCTGCCATTAAGTTTCGTTTTCATTTTCTCTCTGTGAGAGCTCATCTGGATAACGTGTGGATTAACAGTGTAGGCGACGCTCGACAACAATAACTTACGTGTCTAAGGAGGAACATTGTTTACCTGAGAGCTGTTCTCATCTGCAAACGCTGAAATCCGGATTCGCTTGTAACGTTAGTCTTCTCTTCATAATGACTCGGCTCTAGCTGCTGGTGATTGTCCAGTCTCTACAGATTTGGTAAGTGAGCGACCAGTGCTCTTTGTTAATTCAGTTTGTTCGTATCGAAATAAGTTAACTATTGCACTGAGTGCAAACATAGCACCGCATTTTGTGACCGGAATAACACACGCGGCTTTCTGACGCTACCTGCCGTGTGCATTTAAGTTTCCAGGAAATGCGGAGGTTTTTTTTCTCTCATTCGCCGTGCGGTATCAAACATTGCATGAAAATACACGCTTAGAGCAGTTCCTCGAATCAAATATCGCGTTTGTCGCGAGGGGCATGAATGAATTCCCTGAATGAAAGAGCCAAACTGCAATTAAAGTGCAACATTTAATAATTTGGCAAATAATTCGACTACAGATGTCCATGTAGGTTAAACACCATCACTTTCTCATGTGTGTGTATGTTGACTGAAACTCGCGCGTGCCCAAATAGACACTCCCACACCATCCCACTTTAGTTCCTCCGACACTCCCCCTAAACAGAGCTGGACACGCCCACTTTTCTAACTTTTTCCAAAGTAGAGGTGTAAAAACACCCTGCTGAAACGAGGGGGTTTCATGGCCCTTTAAATGATTAATTCATGTTATTTGAAACTGAATCAAGAAATAATCAAATGATTTTGATCAGAACATGTTGATTCAATGAGACTGAGACGCTTCAAATCGACAACTCTCACTCTGGAGAGTCACTTCGCGCATATCAGTAGGTGGCGGTAGTGCGTTTGGATGTCACCATACGAAAACAACAAGAAGAAGTATCACCGCGTGTTTTCGGCACAGTTTGGGATTTGGTTTTCCCAAGAGCTTGAATGTTATGCATGTTATGTTGTTGGCTATATGTTTCCTATACATTTTATACTTTTACATTTTGAATAGGAGTACCAAAGTGAAGAAAGCTGTTTAAACTCAATTGGTAAAAAAAAATGATGTTAACGTCATACAGGTATTGCTTGGGGATCAGTTTTCTTAAGAGCCAAGGGTATTTTGTTGGCTAAATATTTCTTATACATTTTATATTACATATTACAATTTTGGATATTATATAACATTTTGTATCAGAATATTAAAGAAGATCTTGCTTCATAGTATTGTAATTTAAAAAATGTAATTTAAGCAACAGGGCGAGGCAGTGGCGCAGTGGGTAGCATGTTCGCCTCACAGCAAGAAGGTCCCTGGGTCGCTGGTTCGAACCTCGGCTCAGTTGGCGTTTCTGTGTGGAGTTTGTATGTTCTCCATGCTTTCGCGTGGGTTTCCTCCGGTTTCCCCCACAGTCCAAAGACATGTGGTACAGGTGAATTGGGTAAGCTAAATTGTCCGTATGAGTGTTTGTGTGTGAATGTTTCCCAGATGGGTTGTGGCTGGAAGGGCATCCACTGCGTAAAAAACTTGCTGGTTCATTCCGCTCTGGCGACCCCGGATTAATAAAGGGACTAAGCCGACAAGAAAATGAATGAATGAATTTAAACAACAATATTGAACAAGAAAGTTACTAGCTGAATTAACAAGACATAATTTTGTTAAAGTAAAGCTTTAGTGGTACATTGAGTAAATTAGGATCATTTTAATTAGAATAACACAATACAAACATTTTATGTCAATTAGTTGCAAAGAAGTTAGACTGACATATTGAAACCATGTTTTATCTACAAATGTACTTTGTGTTCATACAACATGTTCAAAGCAGTTCAGGTTTACTTGATTGGATTAGATGTATAAAGGGTTAAATCATGATTAAATACACGATTAAATCATGTTCATTCAACAATTTTTTTTTTGAGTGCAGGCAGCATTGAAGTTCTTAACTTGCAGCTGGCTCGCTAGGATTTCACCAAATAACCAATATAGCTATATTGTCTCACATCCTCACAATGTCTCAATTTTAATCGTCAACATGCAAAAGGAACTGCAAGTGCACTTCGTTCTGCAATAAGTTCTCCACATATATGTGAAACACCACAACTGTGGAAATCCAAAAGTTCAGCTTGTTAAGCTAAGCATGCGCAGTGACTTCTTCTTGTGGGGTTTTATTGGTGGGTATGCGAACCAGCTTATAAGTGCATACTGCCACCTACTTTGATAGAGGCGCACAGTAACTTACCAGAGAGAGTCGTTCATATGAACAGCTTAAATCTCGCTTAATCAAAAAGTTCTCATCCAATTCATTTGATTACTTAATTTAGTTTCAAACAACTAGAATGGCTTGTTGACTTTTTAAGTGTAAAACATGTTCATGAACTTACAGTAAGAGAGAAAGAGATGCACAAAATACATCCGAGTACTGACTTCTCTAACAGGTTTTGCACTTGAATATTTAAAGTGATAAAACCGGTTGGGGCGTCAAGGTGGTGCAGTGGGTAGCACGATCGCTTCATAGCAAGAAGGTCGCTGGTATAAACCTCGGTTGGGTCAGTTTGCAAGTACTCTCTGTGTTTGTGTGGGTTTCCCCTGGGTGCTCCGGTTTCCCTCAACAAGTCCAAAGACATGTGGTATGGGTAAATTGGGTAAGCTAAATTTTATGTAGCGTATGAGTGTGAATGGGTGTGTGTGGATGTTTCCCAGTACTAGGTTGCAGCTGGAAGGGCATCCGCTGCATAAAATATATGCTGGAAAAGTTGGCAGTTTATTCCACTGTGGCGACCCAGGATTAATAAAGGGACGAAGCTGAAAAGAAAATGAATAAATAAATGAAAACCGGTTGGAGCTTCTAAAAAAGGTTTTGGGACAGACTAGACTGTGGTGGTCTGACTGAGAGTATCTTGTTTTGACGTGGGACTGTGGGGTGACAGCTGTCAATACTGTGGAAAAGTATTAAATATCAATTCTTTTATCAGCTTAAATGTATGTGTACATGTGTACATACCACTGATGAAAATGGCGATGGGCGCTGTGGTGAGAGGAATGACCAGAGGAGAGCCAGCGCACAGCGAGTAGATAATTCCTCCTATGCTCTGCCCGATGATCGTCTTCTGAACATCTAATCAAAAGAGAGAACAGCTCAGTCTATGTGTGTGTGTGAGAGAGGAGTGTGTGTGTGTGTGTGTGTGTGTGTGTGTGTGTGTGTGTGTGTGTGTGTGTGTGTGTGTGTGTGTGTGTGTGTGTGTGTGTGTGTGTGTGTGTGTGTGTGTGTGTGTGTGTGTGAGACAGTGTGATCACCGATCTCTCCCCGAGTGCTCTCATCATTCAGTGAGCCAAAAGCAATGGCGGGAAGCAGCACAGCGATGTAGAGGAAGATGGACGTCGTCATGAACTTGACCAGGGCTTTGTTATTACCCACTAATCCTGAAAGAAAAGAAAAAAACACATTTATGTCAAACATATTTTAGCAAGCATTACTTCACTTTCCATTAGTGCTCTAACAGTTTGTTAGTTCACTAGAGAAATTAACTTGAGAGAAGTGCTTTTCACAAAACATTTGCACAACATAAATACATCATGTCATGACCATATTAATTAAAATATATTGAATCTATAATTATATAATCTAATTTACAGCTATATATATATATATATATATATATATATATATATATATATATATATATATATATATATATATATATATATATATATATATATATATATATATATATATATATATATATTTCAAGGTCAAAATTATTAGCCCCTTTAAGCTATATATTTCACCGATATTCTACAGAACAAACCATCAATATACAATAACTTGCCTAATTAGCCTAACCTGCCTAGTTAACCTAATTAACCTAGTTAAGGCTTTAAACTGCACTTTAACTGTATAGAAGTGTCTTGAAAAATATCTAGTAAAAAATTATTTACTAGTCATCATGGCAAAGATAAAATAAATCAGTTATTAGAAATGTGTTATGAAAACTAATCTGATTAGAAATGTGTTTTCCTCTTCATCTCCTCAATCTCCTCTTCATTAAACAGAAATTGGGGGGAAAATAAACTAATAATTCAGGGAGGCTAATAATTCTGTCTATATTTTTCCAATAAATATTGATTTCATAACTCTTCTAAAGTTAAAACTTAAAACACAAGTATTGTGTTGTCTAAAACTAAACAAAAAAGTCTGAAAATGGCAACAAAATAAAAAGGCTCTAAATGGCAATATTTAGATTTTAAAGTTGTAATAATAGTCATCAGTAGTATACAGAAAAAAAATCATTTTTGATTGAAACAAATGTTTGTGGTTTTATTTCTTTCTTTTCTCCCACAGCTACATATGTTAATAAATCTAAAAACAAGTAATGAAAAACACTGTGTAAATTATTTGAACAACAAATTAGAGAAGAAACACAATTACAATAAGATTTAGACACAAATGTAAAAACTGACTTAATTACAATGTTGATTTCAATTAGTTTGATTCAATTTCATTTTCTTAAATTACAAAGTGCTGATTATAACTAAAAATAATTGACAATTTAATCAATGTGCAATGAGCAATGTATTTACATGCAGCCTTTAATGCTAAAATACTGGCCAAGTAATAAGGAATAGATTATAGGCATTCAAGTTTTTTGTATGCGCACACTGTTTATTTTCCTTATTTAGCAAAAGCACACATTGTGAGTGTACACAAAAAAGTAGACACTTAACTGATGCAAATGGTATATAACACTTATTTGTGTGACCAAAATCAACAGTGTATTCTTAGGGCTCTATCTTAAAGATCTAGGCGCAAAGTCTAAAGCACATAGTGCAAAAGCATTAAGTGTTCAAATACACTTTTGCTTTTAAGGATGGAAAAATACGCAATAATCTACAGTGAGAAGATAAAGAACAAAAGGACTCGGCCTCTTTACTTTTTCTCTTTACTTTTACTCTTTACTTTACTCCTTTTTATTTTCGTGGATAAGCAAACGGTGTTGTACGCACTCCACTGAAGACATCCATTAGCCCACATATTTAATTTACACAAAGATTTCTTTCAAAACTATTTCTAAATTTAGATCTAATTTCCAGCAAACAAATAAATGAACAATAATAATGAAGTGTGGTAAAAAAAAAAAAAAGTTATATCCAAACACACGTCCTACTCTTACGCCCCATATGGTGACGCATACATCTCCAAAACCTGACAGGTGGACAAATCTAAACTTTTTTATTAAAACAAATATAAATATGAATATAATAAATAATACTGCTAATAATTATAACTTTATACAAATGGAAAGTTTCATAAACAAACTGAAAAAGCCCCCTGAGATGAAGAAGGCATGGAGTTTTTTTTTAAATTTATGAGAAAAATAATCATTTTTGTAACAATTTCATCCTTTATTTATTTTATATGTAAAGATATTTGTGTGTTGCTCTACATTCTGTGTGTGTTAAACAATGTGCACGCATTTTGGACCTGCATAGACACATAACTAACACGGTCTGCACTGAATTTTAGACCTGATTTTTTAAAATACCAACTTGCACACCAAAGAGTCCACAAAGTGACACAAATGATTTTGCTATTTAACAATGTGTGTAGTGCAAAACGTGAAAATTAGAGTTGCGCTGGACTGAAAATAACAACAAATCGCGCCAAACACGTCTTGCGCTTTATTGAGCCGGGTTTATGATAGGGCCTTTAATGGCCTTTCTTTATAAAAAAGAGAGATGCTAGTCATGGGTCCTAAGAGGGTTAATAAAGTTAATTATTTATGAATTATTTAATAAAACTTTAATTATAAATACAAAATACACATTGAAGCAATGCTGTACCAAAAAACTGACTTCAAAACAGATAAATAACAATTGTGTACCATTACCCCTACTATACAGTAAATAAATGTGTGTAATATAATGCTAGATATGCAGCACTTGTACACAATGTCCTAGCTAGAATTGAACAAAATAAGCTATTAAGACCACAAGAGAAGCATATATTCTCCTCTGAAAACTTTAAAACCCCCTACATTTCCAGAACAATTCCATCATTACAGCGTTTGCATCTAAAACAGTGTGATTTGTACATTTATGCTCGACACACCATCAGTGAAGTCAGACGGGTAGAGAGGCAGCCGGCGACACAGATCCTCATAGATTCCTCTTCCCACCCTGAAAAAATCCCTACACTGCACACACACACACGCACGCGCACACACAAAAAGACAGAGAGAGAGAAAGAGGATTATACACATACATACACACACACATATACACATATATATATACATATATCTACATATAAAAGTCAAAACATTTAAATACATTTACTGCAATGCTCCATCAGGAGAGGCACAGGATTAAAGCACACACACACACTCACACACTAATTAAACATCACACACACCAAATCCTGCCGAACCACAGCAAATACACACACCAAAGCACATACACTCACACATACACACCGCAAGGAAAGAGATACTGTTAAAGCAGACAAAAACACACACACTCTGTCTGAGTTAAATCCTCACACAGTCACACACACACAGAAGCTCAGTGTAATCGCACTCACACAGGGCCCCCTGCACAGCAGAGAGAGAGACACAAGATGAGAGAACACAGATTCTGCAGACTGGAGAAAGAGACACAGCCCAGTGTTAGAACAGCATTAGTACAGAAGCACAAACATTACAACCGCATCAGCAGAGCACAGGCCACACACCTGTTACCTTACTTACTTACTTACACGTCCATTAATGCGGCGGCAGGAAACATCTGACATGTGTGCATTTCAGAAACTGCATTAGACGGGCTTAAGCGCTTTTATGAATATAAAGCCTCTGTTAAGTGGTGTGCGCTTTTGTAATTGTGGATGTTTGTGAATATTGTTATAATTCTGAAGAACCACACACACACACACACACACACACACACACACACACACACACACACAAACACACATACAAAACCACTTACATGTTTACATTTAGCATTCTAAGTTGAATGCAATTAGATTAAAAAAGACTACAAATGGCACAGAATAATTCAAAGCAATAAACAGAAAAAAGACCAGTCTGTCCAGCCGATTCCAATGTTATCAGTCGATTGAATGGGCATTATCAGTGGTTATCAGCTGATAGATATGAGCCAGAGATTCCATGTGGATGGATCATAACAGCCTTCTGAACCTACTAGAGGGCGCAGAAGGCCTCTACTGGCCCATATCTAATAGGCATGAGACATTTACCATTTTCAAGGTATAGAGCAGTTTAAAAAAGTCAGGGTTTTAAAACCGACAAAGTTTTCTGTAATACCGTTCCTTAGGTATGAGTAAGATGTTTTATTTACAAATTTTTTTCATTTTTTTTTTTAGTTTTTTAGAACAACAGTATCTCCCTCAGAAAAGATATCCAAAGATGTTGTTTTAAATTGTAAAGAAATCTGTGTTTTTGAAACAAATGAAGACAGCAATGTTTTTCAAACTAAAATATTTTGTGTTAAAAGGGGAAAAAAGTTTGAGTTTTTTTTTACCCAGACATTGAAAAAAGTATTTAGCAGTAATCACAAAACAGTGAAACGGTGATATTTTTATCCAAGGTTATCATACCGTTAGACTCTTACTGGCCCATGCCTAATATCTAACAGCTAATAACCACAGATAATGCCCATTCAAGTGATTCGAGTTTTAACATTCGAAGCAGGTGCCATTATTTAAAATAATTTTAAAACCAAATCTTCAATTTGTCAGGAAAGAAGCTTTTTTATGATACTGAATCAATTAACTACTCAAAACTAATAATTAACTATTTTAGGGTTTCTGCAGGTTTCATTCATTCAAGACTTTTCAAGTCTTTAAGACTATTATAAATGAAATACAAGGCTTTAACATGGCAAAACGCTAAGGATTTTTCATAATAGCCAAAGGATTTTTTATTACTTGCCCCATAAAATTCTGTTATTTCTTAGCCACATATTTTAAATAATGAGTCGAAACAAACAAACTCAGTTATATACTGTGCTCAACATAATTGAGTACATAGCATTTTGAAAATTAATATTTGTATCCATTTCTCAGTGAATATGGACAATGTATTTTGGTGCTTTTAAACAAAACAGATTTAATAAAGATATATTTATTAAAATAATATTTTAGTCATCAAGCATATTTAGGATTAGAAAGATAATACAATTAAACCAAAGCAAAATATTGCAAAAAATATATATAAATAAATAAATTACAACCTACAAAATTTCAACAACTATTATTATTATTATTTATTATTTTAAATTTGTATTTAATATTTTTCTCTTACATATAAATTTGGGTGTACTAGCTTTTGGTCTGTTATCGTAAGTTATTTTGTTAGATAAGCTCCAGATTTGGCTTCAGTACTGACTAACCTAATGTATATGCGCAAATATATTATTGTATAGCATCCTATTAAAAATATGAATTTAAAAGAGAGATTTATGAGGGCTGTACTTATATATGCTGATCACTGTTTATTTTTATTAGCATAATACTTCTTTAAAAAGACATGTTTTAAAAACTATAATAAATTTAATTTATGTACAACATACACGCTGTAAAAAAGTAGACTCAACTTAAAATTTGAAAGCATTTTTGAGTTTACTCATTTTTGAGTTTACACAACTTAAATCGAGTCAAGTGCAGTAATTGGGTTGAATGTTGAGTCAACTCAAAAAGCTCCTGAAATTTGTTGCCTTAAATTTTAAGTTAAGTTAACTTTTTTTATTTTTTACAGTGCAGTTATTCATAAATACATAAAGAACTTTTAAACAAATGTTATTGTAAGGATGTAAGGAATAAAATTAAACCATACTGGTTAATAGGGTTAATACATTTTACTTTTGTTGATGTGTTTTTTTTTTTTTTTTTTTTTTTTTTTTGTTGAATGGATTGTTGGTTGTACCGATTGAGTAGCTTTACATAGACCAAAGAAAATTAGGACCTGTTTAAAATTATTTAACACCACATTTCAGTGAATTTAAGACATTTTAAGACTTTTTAAGACCTCGCAGATACCCACAGTATTAAACCTATTACAAAAAAGTATTTAATACTAAATTATTAATTTATATATATACATATATATTAGGGCTGCTTGATTTTGGGAAAAATCGTAATCACAATTATTTTGGTCATAATTGTAATCACGATTATTCCAAACGATTATTAGTTGAAGTCAAAATTATTAGCACTCCTGAGATTTTTTTTTTAATAAATATTTCCCAAATGATGTTTAACAGAGCAAGGAATTTTAACAGTATTTCCTCTAATATTTTTCTTCTGGAGAAAGGCTTATTTGTTTTGTTTTGGCTAGAATAAAAGCAAATTTAAATATTTTGAAACCTCTTTTAAGGTCAATATTATTAGCCCCTTTAGGCAATATATACTTTTGATAGTCTGCAGAAGAAACTACTGTTATATAATGACTTGCCTAATTACCCTAATTAAGCTTTTCAATCTCACTTTGAATTTGAATGTTTGTATTTAAGAAAATATCTACTAAAATATAATGAGCTGTCATCATAGCAAAGATAAAATTAATCGGTTATTAGAAATGAATGATTAAAACTATTATGTTCAGAAATCTTCTTTCCATTAAACAGAAATTGGGGGGAAAAGGTTGCTAATATTCATAAGGGCTAATAATTCTGACTTCAACTGCATATATTATTTTCCTCCCTGCAAAGAAAAGAAAAATAAATACAATAGAATAAAAATATAAAACAAACTGTGCTTTTAGCATCTTCACCGTAAGAAAAACACTTTAGCTACAAAAGTCTTCAGTCAAGAGCAAAGAGGGATTTTCTCGTTGTTTTATTAATCATGATAAAACAGGCGGCAGCTGTGCTCTGTCACTTTAATGGTTTCGCTTTCACGTGTCTTTTGATTCTCAACTCGTTTGTTTATTACAAAATGAGGGTTAATATGAATAATCACTAAACACCGCGTTTTGACACCTATTTGAACATTAAAGCGCTCGCGTTAATGACTTTAGATGTGTGTGCTCTCTGCTCTTCACAATGTGCGAATGAGACCAAGTGCAGACTGCACTGACTGTCTGCACGCCGCACATACATAAGCATGCGGTCTTTCGCGCTTTTAAGAGCAACAAGTGAGGACAACTGGACAGGGGGCGGTAAATAATGGAATAATCGTTTATCTCGATTAATGGTTTTTTATAATCGTTAGATGCCATAATCAAAATCGAAATCGGATTTTCGATTAATTGCACAGCCCTAATATATATACATACATACATACACACACATATGTATATATATACATATATATACATATATATACATATATATACATATATATATATATATATATATATATATATATATATATATATATATATATATATATATATATATATATATATATATAGTTTGACTAATATGAGTATTATTATTATTATTATTATTATTTTAGTAAACTCAAAAATGACATTTGCTGCTTGTTCAAACTACATATTAAAATGAGTTGAAATAACAAAATTCTTACATTTTTGGGGGGGACAACTTAATTTTTTTATGTTCAGAAGGTAACTTAATAGATTTGTGTTGGGACAAATAAAGGAATTGTGTGGAAACCAGCATTTTTCACAGTGTATGCAGTAAAGACAAGTTATGACCCTGGCGTATGTGTGTGTGTGTGTGTGTGTGTGTGTGTGTGTGTGTGTGTGTGTGTGTGTGTGTGTGTGTGTGTGTGTGTGTGTGTGTGTGTGTGCATGTGCGTGTTTGTGTGTGCGTGTTTGTGTGTGTGTGTGTGTGTGTGTGTGTGTGTGTCAAGTAACAAATACTAAGGTCTTCTTGGATGAATCAAATTTTAATAGGCTTTACAGGTCAGGATTTTGGCAGTGAAAGCTTGTCCGTCTCACATTAATGACCTACATTAGCCCCTTTCTGGCAAACGATCTTGTTTGTTGTCACTCAGGCAGAACCTGTCTCAGCATATGCTTAAATAAGTCGCACAGCTTTAAGTGTTCATTACAGAGCCGTGCTCATTCATCATGACATCGTGTGTCTGATATAGAAAAAGAGAGACAGACCTTTCCTGCTCGTTTGCCAGAGATGAATAGCTTTTAGTGTGCACAAGGGATCACACACAGCTATCTTTATAGGGACCTCCTATATACATGCTCACAC